TTACACACTCTCAGTTCTCACTGTAACTGCCAGAGCAGATCCAGAGAAATTATATAATCATCTTGTTGCACCTCGAGCTCTAATGATTCTTGTGGATACATTTTGTCATTCTGTCACTTTTATGAGAATGTTTTATTCACGTACTTGCCACCAGGACCTTTGAGATTCCGCAGTGATCTTGTAAAATGTAAATCGTTTATTGCAGTCACCTTACTTTGAAATACAGTTGTATGGGAGCATTCAAACTACATATATTACAAGTTACAAGCCTCGCCAACATACAGTCCCCCTGATTATGAGGCCATGTCTCATGTCTGTGACTATGTGCACTAAGATTCACTCCTCGGTTACTCACTGATTATGAGGCCATGTATGTGACTATGTGAACTATGTTTCACTCCTCGGTTACCCCCTGATTATGAGGCCATGTCTGTGACTATGTGGACTATGTTTCACTCCTCGGTGACTATGTGAACTATGTTTTACTCCTCGGTTACCCCCTGAGGCTATGTATGTGATTATGTGAACTATGTTTCACTCCTCGGTTACTCACTGATTATGAGGCCATGTATGTGATTATGTGAACTATGTTTCACTCCTCGGTTACCCCCTGATTATGAGGCTATGTTGTACAGTTACTTGACGTCAACCTGCCCCACCTTACAATCAATACAGTTACAACTAGAGACCAGATGGACACCCGATTATGGTTTTTGCGGACGGTAACTACCGAATAATGTTCTACCCGTTTATCAAGTTACGAAATTGCTAATCCTGGCCTCCCCGTCAGCATAATTAATATCCAGCACCTGTGCTGGTGATATCACCGTCCTTCCTTCTTTAGTACCTTGATAGCACCATCTTATTACCCATTGTTCGTTAATCTAACACCCTCGCATATAATGCTAATAATTACTTTATGATTAAGTTATTAAATGCTCCCTGGGGTTTGTGTAGAAAGTTTTACAGTCTCGATCAGACTGTCTGTTTAAGCTGTTTACCTTTCACTCTTAAATTCTATTTATAGCCAGTATCTCGTACCAAACTCTTTGTCTTTTTGTGTTAAGGGCCTATAATATACTCACTTTCTATTGTAAAAGGTTCTATGATATGTAAGCTTTTAATGCACAACTATTTGGCTGTCGATCTGTAAAAGTAGCTCTGGGGCACGAAATGACAATAGTTATTTTTGTGAGTCGACGGTTATTGACCGTGTGTTCAACAGATGAAGAGTGGAGACTGCATTTTGCAACACACTTTATTTCTTTACTATTGATTTCTTGAGTTTGTCTTGATGTTACTAGCTGTAGCTTTTCAAGTATTATTGAATACATATTATATAATATTCGAACTAGAGCTCGTAATGAGACGCACCTGATGTTTTATCAATCAAGCCAGCTGACGAAGCAGATGAAGTCTACATATTAAAGACTGGATCAGCTACGACACACAGCACACAGATCACTTAATGCTCTAACAATAGGCTGTACCTTAGCTTCAGTTGTATTATTAATCTTACCGATCACGAATTACTGGTAACCACCGGCCACCAACTGATTATAGTCTGGGTATCGTCACATCGGTCTGGGTTTCTTGAAAAGAGATCGTTAGTCAAGCGTCTGAAGGAACTGCAGATGGTGGCGATGATCCCGATTATTGGATCTCGTGTCAAAACCATGAGTGTTTTATAGTCGTTTATATAATGCGATGGGAGGAGGGTTGATAACCAGGTGCAAAGGCAGTTAAGTTACAACTTTCTCGCAGTTACAAGTTACAAGTTCAGGTATCCTTCAACTCCTCAATAAATGATGATCATTAGAGACCTTGCAACGCCGTTAGCTTAGCGACTTTCACTCGCATTCTTATTTAAATCTCATAGTAAGATATCTGTGGTAACTATGAGTTACCACTGTAGTAACTATGAGTTACCATGTCACCAATAATTACATTTATCATTCTCCGGTGTGCGGAATTGAATTTTATTATCCACAAAATAATGAAATGTTAACGTACTTAACTTTATTTAAAGCTTTGCTATACACAATTCATAATGTTTTTCACATCGTATTGTGTTGTTCGTTTATATTCTTATTTCGCTAATACTGCTATTCTCTTAATCTGCAAATACAACACTTTGTTCACGGCGTGGAATGGCGACCTGCAGCAGATGTCTTTCATAATTGAATACCACTTTAGAAAAGCAAATATATGGTGCATGATTCTGTAGCTACAACCATAAACTCATGCACGATTTGTTTCATTACTTTAGAGAAAGTTTCTTATGAATTGAGGTAAACAATGAATCCTGAAACCATGCTCACAAACAAGAACATTGGCTAGTCTCAGCATTGTCTCTTAGTATGCTGTAAAAACTAAAAACTCCACGTTCTGAAGATTGCCATATTATTCACTAATTATCTGAACTACAAGTTAACTCTTTACTTCGTGCTATTGTAACTCTGTTATACTGATATTTTATTTTTAATTGAACAAACAAACGAGTAGTGAATTATCGCTAGGAATATTTTCATGTTTTCATCATAATTGGCGAAGCGATCAACAGCTGTACCAAACTTTTGGGTTTTGGTAACGTATATAATGCTCTCGAATGTCATAAAATGTAACCATTTAGCTCAAACGATGTATAGACGAGATGTAGCAAATTAATATTAGCTGATAAATATTTCGTGTTCAAAATCAGAAACCCCACATTTGGGTTTCGGTTCGTAGGTAATTCTTTCCGATAGCATATTAATATTACGATTAATATATAAATTTTATACTTAAACCACTTATTTTGAAACAGTGTCTAGCCGCCAAGTTGCCAACTTGCCAAGACTTCATGTTCAGAATCGAAAATCACCGAATAAAACTGTTGCAGGTGATCATATTTCTCTAACTCAGTTATTTGACCGAGAAACATAATTCACAATTCAGCTGTCAAATATTTAGCTGTAATAATGGTTTTATCCGGCTGTTTTTTTCTTCTTCAGTTACGAACATCCCGGGAAAAAGAGTTTTCATTACTCGTTAGTCAGTTCAGAGTCTAAACACCACAGGGAATTGACGAGTCACAAGCTTGGTTCCCAGCTGTTTAGTCATAATGAAACTTGACCTGCTAAATCGATTTATTACAAAGCTAAGGATATAGTGAGTTGCACAGTGGTATTGAGTCGAGTAAATTATTGGATGGCAAGGGAGTTTTTCTCAATATTGCACTATCAAATGCTTCGATCGGCATTTAATACATAGCAAGTATCGATTTTACTTTTAAAACGGCACTTATTTGAACCAAGAGATGCCATGTGTTCAATTGAGATTATTTATAATTCTGCAAATAGCAGCGTTTAAGTTACATATTAATTGTAGATACCTTAAGCTTTAGACCTGAGCTTAATGCTGTCGAGATCAATTATTATTTATTTACTTTTGGTTTTCTAATTCTGACCGTTTGCTCGACGATTTTATTTTCTCGGCCTTTGCTTCAGTTTAACTGTCCCCTGAGTCCTGATATAGTGCAATATTTCAATATATGCAACTATACAAGCATCTCCGGACCAGACCACCTTTTGTCGACCAAATTTCATGCAACTCCACGCGTCTTGCAGAGTACAATAGATATACTAGGGTGATATATTAATATAGATAAGGATACTGATGAGGAAGTGAACCTTATCTTTTTGAAGAGGGAAAGCAATTTATCAAACAGCATCCAGCATCGACCAATAGAAACTCAGAGTCACTGCAACGTGACAAAAAATATGGTTCACCACCCTACCAGTAATCAGATCTATAATCGTACTTATTCTGAGGAAAAACGATGAATAGTCTTCTCAGTTATCACTGATTTTCCAACCCTAATGACAGACCCACATCTAACCAAATCCTGTTGTCTTTACATAATCAATTAGAGCGTCTACAGTCTACACTGTAAGAACCACTGCTACTAAACCTCCCAAATATTCCCAGGCAAATGTCAACAGAGCTCCTTTTCCTCACCCTCCCCCTCCTGATCCTCTCAGAGCGATGCACTTTGTACAAATGTCGGGGTAAGGGACCAGACGCCCACCGCTCAATTCCCTGTCTCAACAAATCATGTGATTACATCAACGAGACAATTCCACAGTGCACCTCAACACATAACAACTCTGAGGATGCCAACAAAATAGTTCAAACAAAAGACTGCGTTTACGGCTGTGAGCTTGATCAACGTGATTATTACAACATCTTTTGTTTGGATCAAACTCGAAAGATAGGTCAAGGTCAAATGTTGGTACTTGTTATAGGTATTTCCTGTTCAGGACTGGTGGTGGTATTTTTTCTGACACACTGCTATATGAGAAGGACCAAAGCAGTTGCTGACCTTGTGTTGGAGAATATGAATGTTGGGCTGATTAATGAAGAAACTGAAAAGGAATTAGAAAGTGAAATTATTAAAACGGAGACGGATGTGATCATAGTTGATGTTAAAGAAAATGTTTGATGTGATGTTGATCATGATCATTGGTGAAGATTTTTCTTGGGGTACCGGTATTAAAGAGTACTAGACGTCGTAAGTTTATTGTAAATAAATGGTGGTTACTCAAATTTAGAGTGGATCATAGATCATTGAGGGTGTAAATAACGAAGAAAAGATTTTGAGAAAAGATTTATCCTCCAGATATTTTATGTTTTATACAAAAATGTTGATTTCATATTCATTCTAAAGATGCCGAATCTAGAACATGCTACAAAAGTAACACCAACTGATTTACTCACGCCAAATGTACGATTTGAGGGCATTAGAACTGGGAACATAATAAACTCTTATTAAAAAGTGAGGTCTACACAATCACCAGAGTTATCACCGATGTTACCGTACAGAAAAAGATGGGCTTGCAAAATATACAGAAATTCAATATGGACATTATCATTGATGATTACATTATATTTGATTTTTGAATTTAACCAAAGTATTACCCTAAGTAACCAGACAAGTAATTGAAGGTATTTATACTTACAGTAGACTTGAAGGGGGTGTTGACGCGAACAGAACCAACTCGAGATGAGTAGGAGGAAATGGATGCATCGTCTCTGATGTGTGCTGATGCCATAACTAGGGGTATAAATAATGCAGTAATAGTATCAGCTACATTATCGGTGCAATTAAATTAATCTTATACCAAATATCTGAATTTCTTGGTAATGAATGTGACTGATCCTTTCAATAAAATGTCCAAGGTCTTTTACTGTAATATTTTTACTATGAAATTAACTCTTCCAAGTAATAAAAGTCAAGCACATCATCAGTATCGAATTCTATACTAGGAAGATCGCGAGATTATCATTTCACTCAATAATCTCTTTTTCCAATGATTCATTTCTTTTCAAAGTGCTCCACAACTTCAACTTATGAGTAAGTGAGAACTGAGACAACAAATCTAACCTAGACTAAAAACTTCATGCCGAATAACATTAACAGAGTTAATCAAGCTATTCCAATAAAAAGTGGTCTCGATACTTGAAAATGAGTTTATAAACTCAGCTCTTGGATCCAAATTCCAATTGCAATATAAAATCGGAAGTCGCGTGAATGGTGAAGATAACCAAAGTGGACAGACGTGGCTAAGACATGACAAGACGTTTGTCGGCCATTTTGATTTACCAAGATCGAATCGCATATTTCAATGACTACGCGCGGCGCAAACAAAAAGAAGACGTTATTTGAGAGTGGCTTTAACAAGAATTATTATCAAACATAACAAGAATATAAATGTTTAATGATATTATAATAAAAAGTGTTGCAAAATTTCTTTAATTATTTATCAAATTAAGTTTTATGAAATAAATTGATATTTATAATTGTTTTCATTACAGTCTAAAGACATCACACATTGTTCACGTAAGCGCCGCGCAAATATCAAATAATATGTTATCTCACGTCGTCAGCCATTCAAAAATCGAGCGTGGTCTAGAATATGACGGAAATGATATATCTTATATTCTCTACTCTGTTCATTTTGTCTATTTACGATCCGAACTCGTAATGCACGATTAACTCATGCTGTTTATCCCTTCGAGACTGTATGTGTATAACTGTATTAATATTTACATTAAGTATTAACTATTAAGATTTTCAAGTGTGTACTTTCCAATATTACCATGTCCGCTCAGATGTATTGGATAAACCTTATATTTTGTCATTGCAATCACCTACCCTGCCACACAATAGCATCACAATGCTACCTCCTCTAGTATATAAGTATTTGATTGACGGTCCTTGTCTCTATGGCTCTATCTTTATGATGTATTGAGTGAGCTAGACACGATCTGTAGCATTCGCATGTTTCAGGCCAGTTCTTATTGTTGTACCGTAATGTCCGTTGGGGAGACCATTACATAACTTAACTAAAGCTCATAATATTATCAATCCTTTAGCACACTATGTTATTTGTTGAATAAATACTTGACCTATGTGCCCTTTCAATTTGCACTGAGGGTAGCTAGACCTGCCACAGAAGGCGGAAGAATTGCATTTTCAGTTGTATATTAGCCTTTTTTAAAGTTGCTGATAGATTTATTAGGTATATTTTACCCCCTATCTTCAATTTCAGCCAATGCTTGTTCTTAATAGTATAAAGCAAAGAGGATTAAATGCCTTAGCTTCGCTGAGGACCTACAGTTTATCTCAACCAACTAACTCCATGATCACGGTTGCAGTAGCCTCTTCAGTTGTTAATGATACTATGTCCATTAATCCAGTTGAAAAGGTAACTCACAATCAACCTTCAGTCGCTATTTCAAAAAGTCATGACAAAGAGATTTTACTGTCTAATGTTAAGGATGATGATATGGTTGTAAGACTTAATTCACTTTTCAGAGAATGTCCTCAGAAAGGTCATCTGAATCAGCTCATGATATTGTATCACACTGAATATGACATGTCTGTGTGGAGCTATGATTCTCATTCAGAACGTGAGGAAATGGTGAAACATTTTACTCAGCTCTCACTATCAGTAACTGATAAAATCAAGAAAGCAGGTTACTGGTGTGACTTTGTTGACCCTACAAGTGGAATGCCTTATCATGGCTCCTATTCCAATGAAACTTTGACTGAGTGTGATGAAGATTTTCATAGGTTAAATGACTATCTCTCATTGGAAGACATAGGATGCTGTCGTGCTCTAAAACACTGCAATTGGGACTTCAACATCTTTGCTGGATTATTGGTAACTGATGCACCAACAGAGATTCTGATGGATGCATACAAGTCAACAAATCATGCTTAAGCTTCAATTGAGACATATCAATATTACTCCTATTAGGATCAGTTGAGAATTAGAAAATGAACCCTTCTCTCTTAATATTTCCCATATAAATCCTTAGGTAAATAAAAATAACTCATTTTATATGCACGTTTAGGCAGTTGCTCTTGTGACCAGAGTTTTGGAGTTATATATATATATTGGTATAAATATTTAAGTGTGTGTTTGTATTTTGTATATAATAAAGGTGTTTTATGCATTGTGCTAGATCGTTTTATAGTTGGTGTTGTTTGAATTTTGTGACAAAAGTGAGGGCACATATCATGACACAATATTGCATTAAATGTTAAAAATTATCAAAAAATACTTAAAGATGAGGTCATTCAACGTGTTTCCTAGTTTTGTCTGGAGTTTAGTCTACATTAGATCATTTGATTTCCCTTACAACAGCAACTTAATGTAAGTTTTAATTAATGTTTGCCTTAATTTATTGACTTTTACATTGCATCTTCTTGTTTGTATATTAAAATTGCAAATATAACACCTGTGATTCCAAGGTCATAGAACATTATCATGGTATAGATACAATGAATATTGCAAAATCTCCCTGGTATCGAATGATGTTATGAAGTGTTAAATGTGATCTGAAACTGTTATTTATATTTAATGGTTTTAGCATGATTATTAGCAGCTGCTAATTTTGATTTATGCAAGATGATTTTGAAATTCACTGACTATCCTACATGTACAGGTAGTAGAATGGAGGGCTACCACATTTTGGAATGCATTGGAGAGGGATCCTTTGGACGTGTATTCAAAGGAAGAAGAAAATACACTCTGGACATTGTGGCCATGAAGTTCATCTCAAAGGTTGGAAGATCAGAAAAGGAACTCATGAACTTACGCAGGGAAATCGATATTATGAGAGGATTGAAACATGACAATATCATCACACTGCTGGATTCATTTGATACTGAAAATGAGGTCTGTGTTGTCACTGACTTTGCTGATGGAGAATTGTTTCACATTTTGGAAGACGATCAAAAGTTGCCCGAGGATGTTGTGCACCACATTGCGCATCAACTTGTGTCTGCTCTATGGTACTTACACTCAAATAGGATCCTTCACAGAGACATGAAACCCCAGAATATCCTCCTCTGTAATGGTGGTCTTGTCAAATTGTGTGACTTTGGTTTCGCCAGGGCAATGAGTGTCGACACTTTCATGGTAACATCTATAAAAGGTACACCTCTTTACATGTCACCTGAGCTTGTTCAAGAACAGCCTTATGATCACAATGCTGATTTATGGGCTCTGGGTTGTATTCTTTTTGAACTTTTTGCTGGCGAACCTCCCTTTTATACCACCAACTTATTCCAGCTGGTTAATCTCATCACTAAAAATCCTGTCAAGTGGCCCACAGGAATGTCACCTGACTTCCAAGACTTCCTTTGTGGCTTACTTGACAAAGATCCAAGCACCAGATTGACATGGCCTGATCTTCTCAATCACCCATTTGTGAGTGACCATCTTATCAGAGAGGAGAACATTGTATGGCCCCCTGTTTCCCCACCTATCCAGGAAGATATTGATCAAGGAGCCACACTCACATCCAGTAACCTCACCAAAACTCAGAAGTTACAAGCCTCAGATTTAGCCTTGGCAAATCTAAAAGATTCTTTGAATCTTATTAGCAACAAGATCTCTGCTGAGTCTGAGAAAGCAGAGTTGTTAAAATCCCAGAAAACCATCACAAAAACACCAACAAAACCTAAAAAAGATGTTTTTGCCAGATATAAAGATAAGATTGAAAAGGCAGGTGACAACATGAAGGAATTAACAAGTCAGCTCAAAAACAATGATGGTAAAAGAGATGAAGTTCTTGCAAAGATAGATAAGATATTCTCCAAGGCATCAAACACTGAAGTGAGTGATCTGTGTAATGCATGCCTTGATTTGTCACCTGAGACAGATTTGGTAAAATATTTGATTTCTTGGCAGCACCTGCTTACTTTGGAGGTTGTAAGTGCATTTGCTAAATCGAGTACAGATATTGTTACCAATGAGATTCAATCACTGCTGGATCTCTTATCTTCACCCAATGACGACATACTGCATTCAACATTGAATATCTTACATCAGCTGATATCAAAGAAGGACAGTATCTCTTCTCTTCTGAAGAAATTAAAAGTAAACTATTGTGAGGGTCTGAAGAAACTTGTTGTTAGTTTGAATGAAAAACCAACACCGTCACATATCAACCTTCTACTGAAGCTTTCTCAACACGACCTGGCAAGTGCAACCTCGTGGCTGTGTAGATGGTTAGGAGGAGCTTTTGAAGCAGACGATGCTTGGCAGAGACTTCTTGGAACTGGTGAAGGAAAGAATTTGTTGGCATATGCAGCGTCTGCTCACCCTCCTCTTGCACTTGAAATTTTGAGCATTTCAGGCTTGTGTTGTGAACTTTTCTCATTCCCAGAATCAACATTGCTCCTTATATCCATATTTTCAGTAAATCCTCTTCCCCATGCTGTTAATACACTTATCGATATCCGCCAAGCTGTCAGATCAGAAATGCTCGCTGTTCTCGATACTTTAGATTTGGATCAGTACTGCCGTGAAGAGATACTAGTACTCTTCTCCTTATGTGGTATACCTTTTGTAGAGCGAACAAAAGGAACCATTTCACAAATCAGAGCTGTGAAGACGTTTCCAGACTCTATAAAGCACATTTCAGGACTTCAATCTCCTCTTCATGGTGCTGTGATCTGGCTCACATTCCAGAATGGTGATCCTGACACTGTGATAGACATATGGACATGGGTGTTAGGCTCTATATCTGCTACAAATGTTCTCCAGAATCACTTCTTGGACATCATTCAAACTATCACTACCACATTCAGGCAGAATCCTCTGTCGGACTATGCAGTACAAGTTGTAGAATGTGCTCCCCAGATTGTAAAGAATTCTCTGCCATCATGTGACAAAACATTGTTTGTCGAGCTAATTCGGCTGATGCTCTGTGTAACGGCAAGTGTGGAGGAGAAAGTGTGTGGTCTTGATGTCATGATAACTCTGGTCGACACTGCAGTTACACTAAAGATGAAAGTTAAAGAAACAGCTCCTATTCTCCAAATGTTGATGTTGAGTTTAGAATCAGATGCTGATTCCGGTGAAGTTTTAGCGTGGTTGCAAGGTCATGTAAACTTTTTAAAGGCCTCTCTGAAGAGTCCTGATACTGCTGACGTATGCATGTCCTTGCTTGTGTACCTCTGTCACTTCAAACCAAATGAGGTTCTAGATCTTCTGCTCAAAGCTTACTCAGTTCCTGACCTCAGTAAGTATTGTGAGTCTGCTAACGATACTGTTTTACAGCAGTTTTCAACCCTGGTTTGCTGTATCGGCCGAAAATCTTCAAAGATTGTCATGCTATCACCATTGTCAGAAGTTCTATCCAAAAAAGCTTCGTCTCATGATATCATCAGTGCTGCAGTTAGAACACTAGGCAGCTGATTTTTTCGATTTTCGGATTATCTAGTTATAGACGTCAGAATAGATAGAAGATGTTACATTAATCATTCTTTTCCAGAATTCCTTAGCCTGCTATAAGATTTTATTTGAAGATAAAGCATGAGGCGTCAATTTGATTGTTCAGATTGATTTGAGTTTTAATATAATTCATTTTTAACGTACAGAAGTTTATGTAAATATGTAATAAATCATTATCTATCTAGTAAATTATATTATGTAAGTTAAGCCACATCACTATATTGTATACATGTATACATGAACATTTAAGATTGTATTGTAATTTATATTTATAAAGTTTATAAAAATTATCCTAAAAAATAATGTTACAACTGTTTTACTTCCAGTACAAAAATTGCACTTTATCGAAATATTTTTAAAGCAATTGAGCAATAAACCTGACATTTTCCAAATTTCTATTCATGAACCTTACTGAAACTAAATATTTCCTATGATGGCATAATTATTCAATTAATACAAATACAGTATTCCCTACTTTCTCTATGATATTTATTATCGCACTAACAACCCTTGTCCATCAGCCCCATGTTTGATGTATCAGTGTATAAGAACCACCAAGAACCTGATTCCTTGCTCCAGACCCCACCTCCGGAATGTAGCTATACCACCCAGCAGGGATATAGCCATGCCAAAGTACCGGGAGAGAGCTGACCGTTTCAACAACCCTTACCGGGACTTGTTCGGTCAAAATAAAGGAAAGAAACCTACAACTTTCAGGGATCGCTATATCGAGGCAAAAAGAAATGAACCAAAACCTAGCATTGGTTTTGGGGATGATCCCAAGAACTTCCTCAACATAGGACGTGGGGCTAAACAGAAGAAGTGGAGTTTTTACAACGACGGAAGTAGAGTGAAGTTCAGTGATGTAGGTATAATCCCGGAGTTAGCACGCGAGATAGCGGAGTTGGGGGCTGTGTATCCAACTCACCACCAGTGCGATGTTATCCCTGTTCTTCTGGAGAATAAAAACTGCGTTTTTATCAGTCCTACCGGCTCAGGTTTGAAGTGGGATTTTTTTAATAATCTCCTTTTTATAGCTAGACTGTTGTTAGCACAGTAATATAGAATCAATTCGATTTTGTTTTACAAGTCTAAATGAATTATTTGATATTTAATATTGATAGCTTAAAAATCATAATCCGTTTCTGTCACATTATTTGTCATGACAACAAATCAATATTAATATTATCTTTGCAGGAAAAACGTACACCTACCTTCTGCCAATAGTCCAGAATCTGATAGCCAGCAAAAAGGAAGGGTATATCACTAAATCTGGAGCACCTAGAATCATAATCATGGCACCTACCAAGTTCCTAGCTTTGCAGGTTTGAAATATGTCAGCTTATCTGCTGATTTCTTAATTTTAAACCGTTATTTAATTTAGTGAAAATTGGGCTCGTCCGCAAAACTCTCGTTGCATTCCTTACCTAGTTTTGGAGTTATTACTGTATTTAGTCACTAAAAATAAATGTTGAGCATCATAGGTGCTCCTTAGATAAGTTCAGAAATTCTCAACTAGTATACATTCGAATGTACAGATAGGGTGAGTCACGTATTCTAACTTTGTGTACAGGGGAAGGTCGCATATTCTAACTTTTAAATTCACCATGTGTTCAACCAGCCAGCATTTAAACTATTAACTAATGCATTATATCCTCTGTTTAACTGTCACATTCTCCAGATTGGGTTGGTCACAGAACACTTGATACAAGAATTTGACCTACGAAGCGTCTGCCTGACTGAACTGACCAGCAAAAACCAATCTCAAGAAATCAAGGGTCACCCCATCGACATCCTTATCGGAACCTACGATAACCTCACTTCCTGGATAACTTCAGGGAATGTTTCTACTTCAGATCTCCAACACCTCGTGGTGGACGAGGCTGATGATTTCATGGACTATCGGAAGATTGCTGAAAACGAGGCATTCCTGAAGGAGTTTGTTGATCAGGAGAACGGCTTGACGAAATGTCAGATAATTCTAGCAGGTGCTATCATGCACACGCCTGGTTTTAAGAGAGTAACGGAGATGGTGCCGGGGATTGAGAGATATCTGAACCCCAGATCTCATGTCCCTCTCCAACATGTACAGCAGAGGTTTTGTTTCGTTAACAACAGGAAGAAACCTTTTCACATTATCGAACTTCTCCAGAATCATATCCAGAACTCAAACAGCGAGCTTCAGAGACCCCTGATCTTTTGTAACTTTGCCAATTCTGCGTACTGGCTTCACAAACACCTGATCGCTCATGACATCAATAACTTATTCATCGGCGGAAGTACTGACTCTAAAACTAAAACCCGATTAATGCGAGACGAAATACCCAACACAGACTACCCGATAGTTACAACTGACAGCTTTGGTTACGGTCTAGACATTCGAGAGATTGGTTTAGTGATAAATTACGAGTTTCCTTTTACCTACGAAGATTACATTCGTAGGATAGGCAGGACGGGTCGTATGTCAAGTAATTCACATAACTGTGAGGCGGTGAGTTATGTTTCCTATAAGAAGGATAAAGCGTTGTTTAATATTGTGAAGAATAGCACTGCTCAGAACGAATGTTTGGCTACTATGTTGTTGAGTACCAATAAATATGGGTGGTACAGAAATTAGGATTTGGTATCTTTTTGATATGGATTTTTTGACTGCCATTTTTAAACATGTAATCTGTTTTTATTAATTTATTTCTTTTTAACTCCCCAAATTTTTCGCTAATTAACTTATTGTTCATAAATAATGTCATATTTTGATGCTTTGATTTAATATTAGTTACAGTGGTCACATTTGCTAGTCAAAGAAAAGTGATCGCATTGAAATGTAAACGACGTTATCTCACTCTAAATTTTATGCTTGTTACAAAACTTTTAAATTTTTAAACGCTATTATTCTCGTTTTAGCTAGAATGAGTGACAGGATCAAATCGTTTAAAAACAAAAGCTGGGTAGACGCTGACGATGCTAGACGCAGACGAAAAGAGGGAGCCGTCGAACTCAGAAAGGTTACCCTTATCACTTATATCAGAAAATCTCGGAATATTTCTTGTTTTACATCATCTCTTATATTCCGTATTATTTAAATTAAAATGTGTGTGCCGCTGTTCGAATGATGTATAGCGTAATTCGAAATTATTGCGTGTCATTATAATTTCTTATTTCTATCGTTGCATTGAAGGATAAACCTTCCATTTACTGAATTAATTTCTGGTCGTGGTAACTTTCCCATTATGATATGGTACGTGTTCTCATCTACTCAAAATCAAATTCTTAATTCTCCCACAGGAAAAACGAAATGAAAATATGCTAAAAAGGCGAAACATTCCACTGGAGGACTTCAACAATGAGACAGTTCCTGCAGTAAGTTATTGTTGATAAGATGACCTATTTACCAGGTTTATAGAAATGTCTGCCGAAGATTCGAGTGTACGATGTGATGTAATCGTGCACCTGGACGTTACATTGTACGGAACGAGCTGCTAAATGACTAGCAAAATTTGCCATGTTTGCGTTGCGCGTGGTCGCTGTTAGTGGTTTCCGTATGCGCGGTACAGTGCGCGCAGTTTTCTGTTTTTTTAAATAAATTTCCTGAGGCGGTAATTGGCACCTTTCAAGAGATGATCGAGGAAAGAATAATCAACTTTTTGTTTCAGAGTGATAACAAAGATTTACAATCATTAGTACTTGAAGCTCAGAGTACAGATCCAAATGTAAAACTGAGCTGTGTTCAACAAGCCAGGTAGGAATATGCGAGGCTTCACTGTTTTGAAACCAAATATTTTAGGTTTGCAGTATTAATCCTTGTCCGGTGAAACATATTCTATTTAATCAGTATTTAATCATATTCTATGTTAATAGTTTTTTGTAACTAGTTGAGAAACAATAACTATGTTATTGCAGGAAAGAGTTATCTAAGGGAAATAACCCTCCAATCGATGAACTGATCAGAGCTGGAATTGTCCCAATTCTAGTGGAATGTCTTGATGATGACGAGAATGCAGCCCTGCAGTTTGAAGCTACATGGGCACTTACTAACATCGCATCTGGAAACTCTGACCAAACCCGTGAAGTCGTTTCAAAAGGTTAGACCGCTTTGAAATTTAAGTCGTGAACTTTCGCCGGAAGTTAGGCGAAATTTTGTTTGTTTGTTTCGGTCTTTGTTTGCATTTTGCTGACTGAATCTTTTACCAGGAGCTGTACCTAAGTTTGTGAGACTGCTGGCTTCACCTCACGAACACGTAAGGGAGCAGAGCGTTTGGGCACTTGGTAACATCATAGGGGACGGTCCTGAGTGCAGAGATTTCGTTATTCACCACGGAGTTGTTGATCCGGTCATCTCATTTGTTAAAGACACCACGCCGGTAGGTTGAGCTAACTGTCAGTCAGATCATATCTTTCAGTGCTTTGTCTTAAGCGTAGTTTCTTTTCCTGTTGTTAAGGATACAAATTGGAACTAAAACACGGCTGATTTATGCAATTACCAACTCTGTTGACGTCACAATCCTTCAGCTGACATTCTTAAGAAACATAGTGTGGGTCATCGCTAACTTGTGTAGAAACAAAGACCCTCCACCATCCTCGGAAGTTGTACAGAAAGTACTCCCAGCTCTGTTCAGTCTTGTACAGCACACCGACAACGAGGTATTGTTACACAGATTATACATCGTATACCCATCGTATACCTTGAGTAAGACTGTACTCATGTACTGCTGTTATTTTCTGAACATTTTGATATCGTCCCTAAGGTTCTAAATTTCTTTATTCTGTATTTTACTGATCGTCTGATCGAATGGGATCTATAACTAGTTCAGTACTTCACAACAATGGTTCAGGTGCTCACAGATGCATGCTGGGCACTGTCCTACCTGACTGACGGAGCTGATGATCAGATCCAGAATGTGTTGAACAGTGGAGTAGCTCCCTACCTGGTCCAACACCTCGGTCAAACTGACGTCAGAGTTCTCACTCCTGCTGTCAGGGCTGTCGGCAACATCGTCACTGGATCAGGTACTTACAAATGATTATGGGAAGGCTAGAATAATTCAGTTGAATTAAATGTGAACATTTGATTTGGTTGTAAAGTGTAATTCTTATTGCGCTGCAATTTCACTTGAGGATCCTTTATTCATATTTAGGTATTCATAAACAACACAGCATTTAAACGAAATAAAGCGCAGGGGTGAAATTGTGGAAAACCAACTTTTAAATTTCTTAATTTAAAAGTAACTAAATGCCACATCATAAGCGTTACATATAATAAGCGTTACTTACAATAATTATAATTCTAATATTCATTTTTGAAAAGATGCACGGGATCTGATCTGCTCAAATTGCTATATTATCATAGATGGGTGTCTCTCCCACGACTCTTGTATCAGCAGCTTCACAACTTTGCAGCTCCTCTAACTGCACTGAGGATGAACCAGATGCTTCCTTCTTGCTCTTTCTTCTGCTCCAGATGACGATTATGACTCCCATGACTACCACAATCACTATTAAGCATATAGAGGATAAACCAATACTAACGATTGAAAACGTTTCAAAAGACTCCGATTTTATCAGACAATGTGTTTTGTCGTCAGAAGGAGAGCTGATAGGAGGACATGCAACACACTGACTAACAGAACTAATGCCCTTATCACCTACTGTACCATCTGGACAACTCTCACAAGACGACAGCTCAAAACTGAAGAAGGTACCACCAGGACAGATACACTGAGTAGCTCCAGCCGGAGAGGTTGATCTCTTAGGACAGGGCAGACATGTTGTGTTCTTATTGGGTTTAGGAGAGTAGGTCAAGGGAGGGCATTCCTCACATTCTTCATCCACAACTCTGTGACCTGGTGGACAGATGATAGTGGATCTGGCAGCACACCACAACCATACGTCCTGATCGTGGCTGCTCTCTGAAGTGAAAGTGTGGTAGTAACATGATGGTAACACGCTGTTTGTACATCTCAGATTATCAACCTTTATCTGTAGTTTGTCCTGAAACCCATGTCGGTTTCCACTGTTCCACCTCATTGCGTAACCATATCCCATCAGTTTGCACATCCAATCAGCTGTGATGTCGTTAAATGTACTATTAGTGACGGTGCCTCCTTCAAACATCAGTAGTCCTCCACTGTACGTGTATTTTCCAACTTCGTCCACCAGGTAGAATGAGTCCAAATCACCGCCTAGTTTCAGGGTTAATTAACTAATCACTTAGTGATGTCAAATGTTTACATTTTCATCGTGTTGTTCTAAAAAGTTCTAAGAAGTAATGTTCTGTCATTAAAACGTCGCCGAGCAACTTAACTCCAAAATAAACAAGGTTCCCTAAGTTCAAGTAAAATCAGAATCTTTCATCCTACCTTTTTTCCGAACATTACAACTCAAAGTGATGTCCTCAAGGTGGATACAGTTGTGAGAAGTCCTGTACTGACATCTAGGTAACTCCCTCCCTTCACAGTTGACATCATCCAACTTGATGGGATATCTCTCCTGGAACTCGTATCTAAGACCATGTTGACGGCTAATAAGAGACTGGTAACCCAGTAACCTACAGATCCAGTCACCTGTGGTCATGTCAAATGAGTCATCACACACTGTACCTCCGTCATACATCAACAAACCCTCCCCTGATCCGGTGACTTGTTCGTCTGTGTCAAGGAGGTAGAACCCTTCTTTGGCGTAAGCTCCTGGATTTGGAAAAGGGATCATGAAGTTTTTATGGTACCGGGGTAACTATTCACTTTATCCAACTTCTGGTAGAAAAAATAATTACCGTGATTTTTTATGAAATACTTAAATAACAGATCTACTAACCGTGTATAATGAGGTAGCTGTATAGAAAGATATGCAACATTTCTTCAGTTTTGAGTCGAATAAAGGCGTATAAGCTAGCTCTTAGTTTGGGATCTAAAGGTCAGGACGATTGAAATAACACTAAAGCGAAAGAGTCAAGGAAGGGTAAAGGAGAAATAACTAATTTCGAGTTTCTCTAGCAAAATCAAATCATTTCGTTGGCATCGCAACTTCATCAACCAAAATTTGAAACCGTATTTAGTGTTTGGAAAGGGTCTGGATCTAAAGGCCTGCTAGAGGTACTAACTGTTCAGGTGTCGTTCACATATAACGTTATCACTGAGGGGGGGGATTTCTAGATGATTACGCTAATGTAATTTTATCACAATAGTTATATATGTAAAACTGATAACGGAGGGGGGTTAAAAGTTTACCAACTAGTGATCAAGTAATAATATGTAAATACTACATATTTTAAACTATTGGGGGGGGTGTAACCCAAAAAAACCCAAAAAAACCCAATCCCAGTATTACCTTTTTCAGGGTAGGAGTTGGGTTTTTTTGGGTTTTTTACAAATTTTTCATTTGAAGGAAATAAAATCATGTAGGCACCTAGCAAAACAATTATCAGTACAACATCACTGTTGTGGTTCATCACTACAACATCACAATAGATATAATCGCTTAAATATCACCCAAAAGCAGTATTTTATTCACTGATGTGCTCAGAAGAAGTTGGCCATCCAGATATGATATCAGCCATATGTAATGCTCACTTCGATGGCCATGGCAAATTGAGTTAGTAGGGACGCAACTCACTGATGACCCCAACCCTGACCGCATCCGGTACGAGAGGAATAAAGCCTTTCTTCTCACCTTCACGATCTCTGTTTCCGTTTTCCTGATCATCCGCTTAACGAGAAACCATGCTCTATCTCCAACTGAAAGAATCTTGCAGTTACCATCAGCTGCATGATCACATGTGATATTGAGTGATATCTTCGCTTGTTTATGGCCCTGGAGTCGCTAAAATCTTGACTGGGATGGCATTCGATCTCGCCCTCCATTGAGGCAAACCTCAACAGCCGTATCATGATGCAGAGCATCACAATACACAGTTACTATTTTCGCCCATTCCTCTGATGAGTCGGTATCCTCCACTTCCTCTTCTTCATCATCTGTTTCCGCTTCGTCACTCTCTGCTCCGTCAGAAGATGGTTGGAAAGCCTCTCCTTCAAAGCTATAGTGTTCTTGAAGGAGTTCTCTACCCTTGAGACTCCCTTCTTCATAGCTTGTAACAATCTTGGGATTGAAGTATCTTTACCTCTAAATGGTTTCTGCTTTCGGATGCGGTATAACAAGCTTGTTGCGAGGGTGGGCAACTGTTACAGGGATCAAACTTTTGCCGAGTGCATCAAGCTCGAGGGAACGCGAACGGTTTGATTTGCCCATGCCAACCAACATATCCTTAGAACACAGATTAGTTCTAATGCCTGCATGGAGGCCTATGCGCAGGAAAGCATAAAGTTTGCTCGCAGGCATCGGATGTAAACAGCCAGGGCATAAAGTGTTGATAACTGTTGTCAGCTGTTACACTGAGAATGTACAGCATCAGACCCTCGACTGTAATAATCGCATCGTCAAAATTTTTACAAGTAGGCAGGTGGTCTTTCAATGGTTGTGTGAAGCTTAGGTGGCCCAAGGCGTCACCGCTGGATAGAAGCTGGGTGGAAGCCCTGGTCTGATGTGAGGCTCCCAGAACTTTGAAAAGGGGTATCCTGCTGGTGCCCTCTTCCAGACACTGATCGGACAGCATGATGAAAGCCACTACCTCCGCGTGCTGAAGACTGGATACTGGACAGGGGGTCCAGGCTAAAGGCAGGACGATCGACGGGAGACATTGAGCCCCGGAAGTTCAATAATTTGATCTATTGACTCCTTAACTCTTGGTCTACAAGAGGCTTTGAGACTCGTAAATCTTTACTGTGGATTGCACAGTAGCTAAAGAGGTGTTGGCTGTTACCCTGTTCAACCTAGTCTACTATGACCCAGCTAGACTGGACCACACTCTGGTAGTCAGGATACGGCTCCCTATGCCCGGGGTACCGGGTAACGAGGTAGTCAGGGGAAGGGTTAGTCCCCGCTAAAGTGTAGCTCTGTTCTCACTCTAACCTCCTTATGCTTTGGGATAAAATCGGAAAGTCCCACACTGGAGCAGATGACGATTGGGTAAGGATTACGACTGATGCTGTTGGGTAGAAAAAAGAAGTGTCACATTTGTCTTGTATAGCATATGTTCGTGCAATTACATGCTCAAGATACCCAAGATATTATGGTGAGAGTTAAAGATGGCTATTGTTCAAGCGGATGCCCTTAACCTTTTAGTGGCGCAAGAGTTAAGAATAAGATTGTGAGCCAACTGAAAAGTCAAGATGAAGTTTATCAACAGCTTAAGGGTTAAAGCCCCTTATTTTTCTAGTGGAAGTGGTTGCCGGGGTAATTACGCTGCTATTACAGAAGCTGATGACTCGGTCTCCACATCACGACAACCTATTTCTACAGAAAGTCAAACAAGAAAACATCAAAAAAATATGAACATCAATTGTATTGTATCATGTAAAAGGACTGCTAAGGTTAGCACATTTAACATAAGAACAGCCAGAGAACAGCACAAACGCATCGAACTTGCAGAACTATTTTCTCGAAGCAAGCTGCACATCCTTGGCCTGCAAGAATTGAACATCGGGTAGTGCATGCTGATTGCTGAGAATACCAGAATAGAAAAGATGAACAAAGGGATTCATCCAGTGATATCATCTGCGTGGAGAAACGCAGCTGGCGCTTCTAATGGGAGAGTATGAATCATCTTGACGAGGACAGCAGCGCATATGAGGCTATAAGTCTTATAAAGTTATAAAATCTTACAGCGCAAGGATCCTCACCATGTCTCTTAATGGAAAGCCCAGGCTCACTGTCATCACATGCTACAGTCCTACAGAAGCCTCATCTGATGAGGAGGCATGAAATCTTTTTTGTCTAAAACCAAGCATCTTACAGTTAATTTAGTAGGAGCGGAGCCACACACAATAATTTCTAAGGACGGACATGCCTTAGAAGAAGTTGAGGATTTTAGTACAACGGAGCACGACTTTAGGTTACGCAAGGCCAAGGCATGGGCTGCCTACCACAAAATGTAGGCTATATGGAGGTCCATTTTGCGCCGAGATTTAAAGATCCGTCTGTTCAAGCTACGGTTGAATCAATCTTCCTGTATGGAACGAAAACGTGGACAATAACAGAATCTTTGAAGAAAAGAATAGACGGATGTTACAGTAGAATGCTTCGGATGGCCCTAAACGTGGACTGGAGAGGACATCGCACCAACAAGGAGGTCTTTGGATCACTCCCAAGAGTTATTTCGAAGATACAGGCCAGAAGAATGAGGTTGGCTGGGCACATCCAGCGACATGATGACCTGGCAGCACACCAACCTAGGGAGGGGTAGACCACCGCTCACCTTCGTCGATAACCTAATAAGTAATAAGTGACACTGGACTCAAAAACACTGGGGAGATTAAGGAGCTTATGGCGGACAGAAAGCTTTGGAGACACATCATCGAGACTCGGACTCTGAAGCCGCCTTAAGTCAAGTAATTTAAGTCATGTGCTTTGACTTGCCCTTGACCTTCGTCATAGCCTCCTTTCATGACAGGAGAACACATTTGCCACGTTTGGCACACTTCCACTTTGTGCATTCATATGGATTATATCTCGATGAACGAGACATCCTGTTTGCTATCGTGATAACATACTATCAATATAAACACACTTATATACTATGTAAACTATCTATTAAGTTAAGACATGAGAACAACACGTAGGTAAGACTCAGTGGGAAATAATTCACATTCAATACAATTAATGAAATGGCTAGAATTTTGTTTAAATTTTGTTTAAGAAACCCAAAAAAACCCAATCCCAGTATTACCTTTTCTTGGGTAGGAGTTGGGTTTTTTTGGGTTACACCCCCCCCACTATTACGATCTGTCAATAAACACTTCCTATTTTCAGAGCACCAGACACAGGCAGCTCTAGATTGTGGCTGTTTGTCCTTTTTCCCTGCCTTACTGCAACATCACAAAGAGAGCATAAAGAAGGAGGCAGTGTGGACTATCTCCAACATTACTGCTGGCACTAAATCTCAAATACAGGCTGTTATCGATCATGGTCTTATTCCTCTTGTTATCAACGCTCTAGAAACGGTTTGTCACGTTTTAGTAAGAAATCGGTTTTCCCTGAGTTGTGAGCTGTGATTTTAAGAAAAAAATTGGGAATCAGTCATAAGTTTCGCTTCTGATTTTCTGATGACATGTTTTGTACTTCCAGGGCGACTTCAACACGCAGAAGGAGGCAGCCTGGTCGGTTTCAAACATGACAGTTAATGGAACACCAGAGCAGATAAAATACCTCATTGAACAACAAGCTGTGAGGAGCATGTGTGCTCTGCTTGGAGTCAGAGATCCCACGGTCAGTTATTTGCTGTGTAAAACAATGACATCCTCTTCTACTCGAATTTATTTTTTACAATTAACTCGAAATAATTTTATCTCATTTAGGTTTCATAAATTATTACTAAATTTCTGCTATTGTTATTATTGCGTCCTATCGGCTAAAAACTTCCCACATTCTTAGATTGTTCAAGTGCTTCTGGACGGATTGAACAACATGCTGGAAACATCAAAAGACGAATGTGAGGATATCTGCAGAATGATAGAGGATTGCGGAGGCCTTGACAGGATAGAAGAATTACAGAAACATCAAGTGAGTCTCATTTAAAATGAACCTGTTCATCATAATTATAGACTTCGTTCAGAAATATTATATGTGAAACCTACAAATGTAACAATTTGATAATGAATTCCCTCGAATTGGTGTTTTCGCAAGGTCCTAACTTACAACCTATTTCAGAACAAGCAGATTTACAAACTCGCATTCGACATAATCGACAAATTCTTCTCGTCCGAAGACTACCTCGAGAATGAAGACGAGAATTTCAATTTCCAGATAAATTCCACCGAGCAGCAACTCGCTCCAGAGGGTGGCTTCAACTTTTGATCAAGACATTATTTGCTTACTGACATTTTCCATTGGCCCCCCTGTTTCTTTAATCGTTCTGATCCGATGGGAGTCGATCGCTCGATTTCGATTTCCGTTTTTATTATTAACTTATTTATGGGTGGGGTAGCCGAAAATCAGCGAGTTGAATCTCAGCTGCTGGGTGATGTCGAAATGTCCCACACTGAAGGTGCTCTTGATTGATTTTCCGTCCTATAAATTGTTATTTTTCTTCCTGTGGGTCACGAAATTTGTACAAATTTTCCGTGGATTTTTTTTTCTTTTTATGTCAACCCGAGTTTTAACAATCTTCTATTAACCATTCGCACGTTGTGTTTTAAACATTAACTAAATTAAGATATTAACCCAATAATTTCTGTAACGATTCGAGTGGGAACGAAAATATTTAAGATTTGTGTGAGAGTATTCGTTGCTTTCTTGTTGAGCAAATTTATTATATATTTTGTATTGTTGCAGCGTATTTAAATTTAGTCTGTGTGTATTAAGAACTGCAATCCGCAACAGAGCTCTTTGGATGTAATTTTATTCCCGTTCTGCTAGACTGCCCAGTTTCGAATTTAGGCAAAAATTTTGTGAATCTCAATTTTAGCCACTATACATGGGAAACCGAAGCTCGTTCGCTTTTCAGTTGGGCCCTATGGATTTTTCCGCTTGACATGCGTGTCCCTGTCACGATGGAATTCGATCTCTTTGATTTTTGTCTAACAACTGGAAGTGTACAACTGGGCAGTGCTACATCTTAATTATATACCGCCGAGAAATAATCTGTTTACCACACTGCACCCAAGTGGCAGTTTTAATAGATTACATTTATTTCCAAATTCATAAATTGTCGTTTTACTTTGTATTTTGGTTTAATGATCTTGTTGGTGTCACTCGCCACTGACAAGTTTGAACGATTTGTTGTCATATTGTACTTGTAGACAGTGGCGTAACTTTGCCTGTTGGCGCCCCCCGCTCAGTGACGAAAAGTGCCCCCCCCCCCCTAAATTTTTTGTGTCCCTAAAAAATTAAAAAAAAAGGTCGGGTACTTTTTTCTCGCCCCCCCTACAGCTTTTTGCGCCCCCCCCCCCCCCCCCCCCCCCCCCTGAAGCAAAAAAGGTACCCCAAATATTGTTTTCGCGTCCACCGAACGCTAAATTGGACCTAAAATTCAGGAAAATTGCGCCCCCCCCCCCCCCCCCCCCCCCCCCCCCGCACAGCGGGGTCTGCGGGGCCCTAAGTTACGCCACTGATTGTAGAGGTGATTCATGGTCTTGTGAAGTAATTGAGCTTCGAAGCTCCTGACATAATTTCTCGAATCAAACAAATAAAAGCTACATTGTACATGTAATGATGACATCAGACATCTTGACATCAGACATACGTTGCATGCCACTTTTCGCACGCCGAAGGTCGTGATGCACGCGCGCCACCGGCCTGACCTCTGCATATATATATATATATATATATATATATATATATATATTATTAGTTAGCCACAACTATCAGTAAAACAACGCCTTGACTTCAAATGTCGGTAAAATGTAATTCCCAACGTCAACTTGCTCTATAATAGAAACATTAATGTCCTTACTTAAAGTACTGGTAAACAACTTAGTGGTTGTACGGTCAAGATTGTGCAAAATCTCATTATCTATAAAATGGCAGGAAAGTTCACAGGTCCTTCTTTGAGTTTTAATGTGGGATTTATGGTTCCTAAATCTAACCTTTAAAGAGTCTGAAGTACATCCTATATAACTTAACTTACAAATATTATCATTAACTATGTACACAACATTTTTGGTATCACAGTCCAATCGTCCTTTGATACTGAATACTTGGTTGGTGTGGAAACTGCCGATTGTGGTTGATGGTTTCAGGAAGTTTTTGCAGAGATCACATTTCTTAGCACAAGGGAAGCAACCTCCAGAATCAGAATCCTCAGCTGTGTCTGGAGAGGCGTGGCCTGGATCTTCTACAGCTGGCTCTTCAACAGGAGGGAGTTTGCTATGAATAAGAATCTCATGAAGTGTTTTTGTCCCTCTAAAAGAGGTGAAAATACCATCAGGGTCAATCACCTTGCAAAGCTCGAGATCTAGACGGAGGATGTGCTTGTGGGAGTTAAGTATCCGTCCTATGTTGGGGAGACCTGGGTTGAAATCTGTTACAAGGGGAATGAGTCTCCCTTTGCTACTGTCATCCTCCTTATATCTCTGTTGTTGATAGTAGGAGAGCCTGCTCTTGGTTTCCACTTTATTAAAGGCCTGGTTAATTAAGCTATTGCTATAACCTCTTGCCACAAGATAGCTTATATATATATATATATATATTTCATGGCTGGACTTCTACACAATAAAAGAAAGCGGTTGTGATTAGATCTTCGAAAGTCTTTGCATCGTTTATTTACATCAATTCTGAGAAATTATATCATTAAAGTAACTACAACAAATACGAATCATATACAATTGAGAATAAATACAAACTAAAAGCAGTGGGAAAATCTGATGAACTGAAATTTAAAAAAGAAACTGAAAGCCGTTAAAAATGTACTCTTATCTTATCTCTTATCTAAATACTGATAACTGATTCTCGGAAAATCACTTAAAATCACAACGAAAACCTGTAAAATTTATACTTAAGTAAAAAATGTAATATGCACGTCTCTGGAATAATGGTATAACTAAATAAAATCTACAAAATATACTAAAACTAAAACTAAGCTCCGGCAGATTTAAAAAGTAGATGGTTACTATCAAGGGTGTTCATACCCCCAAACCGTTCAAGGGTTTTCAATTGGGTCTGGTAGAACCCCTCTCTAGCTTCCATAGCCTTTTCTTTGTCTGCTTTACTAATATTAGGCTCAAATACTAAAGCGTCTACTATAATGACAGAAAGGTGCTTACTAAGTGAGGAATTATAGCAGGCTATGGTACTAAAATCTAAATCATGATCAATATCTAAAAAATGGTTAACTAATTTACAACTTCTTATACCTTTCTTTATGTGACTCTTATGGTTAGAGAATCTCTTAGGGAGATTTGAGGTAGTATAACCGACATACGACTGTTTACAAGTCTTACACTCCATTAAATAAATGAGGTTATAACTCTGACAAGATATATACTTAGTTATAGGGAAAACTTGTTTAGAATGGTGACTACTAAAATTGGAACAGGGGGACAGGAAATTTTGCTTACAAACATAACATTTACCACAAGCATGGCACCCTGGGTCGACAGCCCCGGGAACCGCCCTTAGACTTTCGGAGTCTGGTTCCTGGATCTGGCTTGCAGTTGTTTCTCTCTCATTATCACAGTTTAAAGTTCCACTGGCACGGTACTTATTGTGTACAAGCATGCCACCGATAGTTTGATTCTTTCGATGACTCACGAATACACTGTCCGCACGTACCAGCTTCTTCAGGGCCGGATCAAGGTTGAGAAGGTGCTTATACTTATGGATAATGCCCCCCATGTTGGGAAGTGCTGGATTTTGATCCATCACCATGGGTATTAAACAGGCAGTCGACTCATCCTTGTCTTTAAGGGTATACAAGTTTTTCCTATTAGCTATATCACTAAATTTGTTAAAGGCATCTTCTATAATACTGGAATGATAACCTCGGGCTAGAAGGTAACGTGTATAGACCTCTCTCTGCTCTAAGAAGTTAGTGTCTTCACTATATATATATATATATATATATATATATATCCATAGACACAGTGTTTCGTCCTATTAGGACTCATCAGTATGGCTCAAATCATCAAGGTTGGTTTTGCCGATGGCGGGTATCGATCCAGCAACCTTGCGATTACTGGCTCTACGCCGCGCCACTGGGCCACCAAGGCCTTAATAATGAATGAATTACATAGGTACCAGAGTGCTCTACAAACTCATTACAAGTTAGGAGCTTTGCATTTAAGCTGAACGGTAGATCTATTCATTCCCTAGAGTGCTCAAGCTTAGTAAACTAGGCGAGCATATATATATATATATATATATATATGCGCGTATAATACGTACGTGTGTAAATAATATTATTTCCAGATATGGCCGCGGCGCTCAGTATTCCATACAGGTTGAGGCGATAGTTATCGAACAAACATGTGCTCTGTGCCAAAGTGTGCCATCAATGCATTCCGGCAGAAAAGATGTAAGTAAATCTCTGCTGTTTACTGAAAAAAGTGCTTAAGTACACCAAGGTTCATTTTGTGCAAATTTATTTTAAAGATTTCAATTCTGTTATTGCTCTGGGCTAGCTCATAGCTGCTGTCAAATTTAAACTGCACCCACTATGTTTCTAAGGTACTTTGTCGACTTTTGAGACTTATGAAAGGTTTCCTCATCCTAACTTCTCGGAAAGTGCCTCAAAATCACAAATTATAGTTTGAATTTTGAAAAATATGATAATTTTTTGTAACTTTTGGGGTCCAAAACATCAACTTTCCAGTTGACTGAACACATTTTTGAGGGCACCAAAAACTGCGCCAGAGTTCTGAGAACAATTTAATGTGAAATATGAAAACAATCCGATGTTTCCTGACAGACTTTTTTGTCAAAATAAGTCTGAAATGGACAATTTCAGATTTTTTCCCGATCCATGACTCAAAGTGCTGAAGGCACAAAAGAGTCAAGGACAAGGGTTAGCGAACGAGGATTCTTTTTGTATATGGTAGCTTTGCGACCGTGCGTGCGTGCCTGCGAGCGTACGTGCCCTATAAGTTATAACTTTGCGGAGTTTGTCACTCCGCAAAGTTATTTTGCGCAATATTCTGAAATCTGAATTAAATTGGTATTGGCGCGCAACGCTGAACCGATCAAGTAAATCGTTAATTTCACCATGTACGTACCATTATCCAACTAGCTAGGCACTAATTGATAGCATGTTATTTCGAGTTAGTATTATAGTATTACCATTTTGCACAGATCCGTGTCATATCAGGTGCATAAACAATAAACATATGGTTAGTGTTACATAGAAATATATACGATTTTCAAATTTATTATGGAATTAACTGGGCGGCGCTCGGCTTATCATTCCGCCATATCTGCATGCTTATAAAGTATAATCAGTAAAGCCTGGGGTCCCCAGGTTGTATGGAATATGATAAATACGCCATCATGATCACGGATCGGGAAATTGAGCGGCCATCCACAAAAGAAAAGCGGCCGCATTTCTTGTTGACTTAAAAAGGTTGTAACAACACATCCTTTTAAGATGCGATTTAAAAAAATATGACATGCCTGTAGAAAAGAACAATTTAGCTAAAAATGTTGGCTCGATATCACAAAAAATAATTTAATTATAGCATCTCAACCAAAACAATTATTTTTTCCGAAAGATGTACTTTAACCAGGAAATGCTCGATTAAAGAAATGGGGGTTCTCAAACAAAATTTGTTTCGTGCGGAGACGGTGCGCTAGATGGTCACTGAAGTTCCTGAGGTCATTTAGAGATTTAGGTTGGCCGACACAAACCCCTGTTTTGGTGTATGCCTCCTTAAAAAGTTCTCCTCCATTGACAAATCGGCAATTTTGACGGGGAAGGTAGCGTTTCTGAAGTTTGTGATCATTGCCAATCGATCCGTCGTGAAAATTTAGCTTTGTAAGTATCGATTATAAGCTTCAGTCGACAGAATCAACATTTAATTGAAAGTATAATGGCTTTTAAGCACTTTCGTGAGAAAACGTGCTCGTTTTCACAAAAGTGCTTCGCTCGACCGGGATACCGGCCGGGATTTGGCATTTTTTCCCGGTCCCGGTCCCGACCGGGATTACCGTTCTGGCCGGGATATTAGCCGGGATTTTCAAAACAGAATTTCGATCTTTTTAATCCAATTTAGCTTCAAATTCATATTCTATTACTTTGACTTAGACAAATGAAACGACTGTTAAGAATCGAACTAATCGAAATGAAAATCGAAACTCGAAGGATTGATTAGATTTCAGGCTCATCTAAATCCGAAGATATAACGATGTTGATATCAATGTTGTCATCCTCTGCTTCTCTTAGGTCTCTAGCAGGTGGCAAATTAATACTAGAAATATCGTGAAAATCTCGGTCCCGATCCCGGTTCCGGCCGGGATTAAGCTGATCCCAGTCCCGGCCGGGATTTCAGTTTCATCCCGGTCCCGGCCGGGACAAAATTCCGATCCCCCTGCAATAATTTGTTTTTTTTTTCAGGCCAAAAGACCCACGCGCACGATCACCAAATTACTGTCACTAGGCCAGTTTTAGACGTAGAAAACAATGCAACCATTTTCAGTTTCCGAAATGTCACCATGTTTTACTTTTAGATAAACGGCATCCGTTTTCAAAAATGGTCTTTTAGGGGTGTTTCTAATGACCAGGGTCTTAAGCACTTTCTAGTTTCTCTGAAAAATGACTTTCTAAGAAATACCCTTCTTATCACTCCACATCTGTTTTTGCAAAAACAAAAGCATTTAGTGTTATCACTTTCCTCATACGTGTAGTGCAAAAAATTTAAATAGCCATAAGTCAACGAGCTTAAGTAGTTAATAGTAAGTCTAGTAGCTGAAAGTTGACTAAGATCATGCAAAAAACGCCGCCGAGGTTTAGGATTCATAAACTCGACCCAATTTTACTACGTATGTGATTTATTGGGTCAGGAATATCGAAGAGAACATTTAAATTCCTGTGTCTGATCATAAGTCTGCTAAGGTCGACGGTCGCTGGCTTCCGAGCTAAAGTAGTTAATAGAATAATAGTACTAGTAGCTAAAAGTTGACTAAGATCATGCAAAAAACGCCGCCGAGGTTTAGGATTCATAAACTCGACCCAATTTTACTACGTATGTGATTTATTGGGTAAGGAATATCGAAGAGAACATTAAAATTCCTGTCATCCTGTGTCTGATCTCGAGTCTGCTAAGGTCGATGGTCGCGTCGCTTGCTGCAATAAGCGGAAACAGGAAAGCCTTCTTGCCTACATTCCTGTATGTGATTTTAGATCACTGGTCTATTGGATCAATGGATCAGGAAAACTGAAGGAAATATAGGAAAGGATTGTGTCGTCGATTAAAATGGGGTCGTTCACATATGACGTAATCAGCCGAGGGGGGTTTCAAATGCTTACGGTTGATTACGGGGGCCTAGGGGGGGGGGGGGGTTTTGGTCGTTGATTATGTAATCAAAAGTTTAATTTTTTACCGATTTTCAAAATACCAATTGGACAATTTTCGTTAATTATGTAATCAAAATTTTCGTTTTTTAAACCAATTTTCGTTTAGTAAGTGCTTTGCGATTATTTCATTCATTAATCCGTTGTGATAGCTGGGTCTTGATTACGGGAGGGGGGGTCAAACCTTGATTACGTTATATAGGGGGGGTTCGGTCTTGATTACGGTTGATTACGGAGGGGGGGGGGGGTAAAATTGCCAAAATATTGATTACGTAATATGTGAACGACCCCTATATTCTCTTCGATATTCCTGACCCAATAAATCACATACGTAGTAAAATTGAGTCCCGTTTATAAATCCTAAACCTCGGCGGTTTTTTTCGCATGATCTTAGTCAACTTTTAGCTACTAGTAATATTAACTGCTTTAGCTCGTTGACTTATGGCTAATTTTAAATTTGTTTGCACTACACGTATGAGGAAAGTGATAACACTAAATGCTTTTTGGTTTTGCAAAAACAGATGCGGAGTGATAAAGATAAAATATCAACAAAGCATATCAAGTGGGTACTTCTTAGAAAGTCCTTTTTAACACAGTCGAACCTTTTCATTGCTTGTATTCATGGGGGCCAACAGGCAACGTTACGCCACTGATGCCCCGATTACTCATGCCCCGATTACTATAGTAATTGACCTTTCTAGATCCATCTTGAGATGTACAGTCTGTCGTTTTCATTTTGGAAATTTCAGATTTTTCAGAACTATTCCTGAGAACCATTGGATACATTCGCCGACCCCCCGAAACCCCCCTTTTTGGAACCCCCTAAAATGCAAAAAATGATAATTTTTTGCATTTTATAGGAAAGGAATGTGTCGTCGATTAATATGCTACAACTTTCCTGCACAGAAAAGCATATAGAAGATCAGTTCCCAGATAATTTTCATATTAATTTTCTACCAGCTATTCCAGACGCTTATTCTGCGCGATATCTTGTTAATTAGATTTTAGCCAATTTTCAAAGCTCATACGAATCACAAGAGATGATCGGACACGGAAGTGTTCAGTTTTTCTGACGCAAATTACGTCTTGTCATTTATTAGAATAACTCTGTTGCCTACCACGTTATAATATTTATGAGAGCAATACTTTTTATTGTGCACGATTTAAGACTTTAATACTAGTAACTAAAAGTTCACTAAGATCATGTTTTAAAGGCGCCGAGGTTTATAATTTATAAACTCGGCCCAATTTTACTATTTTTAATATTCCGTAAAGCCGTAAGTGATTAAATGAGCAGTTGAGTGGGGGGGGGTTTTGGTCGTTGATTACGTAATCAAAATTTTCTTTTTTACCCTCTAGAATAGTAACAATTTGACAATATTTTAATTCAAATTCCACTCAATTTCAGTTTTCACTCTGGCAGTGATACAATTTAAAAATTGATCGGATATCCGACTATATTAAGTAGTTTAGAAAGTTAGAAGGTGATCGGCCGGATATCAATCAGAAATTTTATTAATTTCCAGGAAAAATTTTCGAGGGCTAGGTCCTGAAAAATATTTTCGGCTAATAATGATCAGGGTGACATGAACTGTTATGTGGAGAAATGTATGTAGTTTCCAGGAAAACTTTTAAAATGTTTGACTTTTCGGCCCGAGTTATTCTCGATACGTACATTGAAAGGCAGTCTCCCCGCGAGGGTGAGGTGGGGACTCCGAAATCGGGACCCCTAAGAGAATAGACACTGACTGACACGCTGCAACACGTGCAGCCTTCCCAATACCGGAATACTAGAACAATACCAGTTCAACAGAATAATAAAACAAGATTATTAATGCAAGATTGCACAGTTCCCCAGTCCCACTCACTGCATATTATAATACGTTTAGAAAGTTTGTAGCGACAAATTTGTCTCATATCAGGCAAAATCGCGCTAATAATCAAATTGTTAGGTAAATTATTTTGTTTTTCGCTTCTAAAATGTTAAACTCTTGGTGAAGACGTGGCTTTTGTCGAGAATAATTCTAATTTCAAATACCACAATAATGAAAGTGTGTTGTGTTAAAACTGTTAAAACTTCATCAGCAAAATTCACAATTTCTGTCAGTAAATAAGTTACGAATAAATGCCCCAGAAGAGAAAACTCTCAAAAACAATTAAAAATAGATTAAAATCAGGTCGGCAGAAAAATATTACAGCTTACACCAGATACATAACAAAGGTCCTAAGTCATCGATCTGTTCATGTTTTCAAATCCAATACCCAAACAAGACATAACCAAAGTAGAGCCCAAACCTTTTTTATTACCAGGCTCATCCACATTTATTTTCTCAACTTTAATCTTAAAAACAATGCCAAAAAAGAGTTTAAGGTTACGGAGAAATGAGATGGTGTAAGGAGTTAAGGGTCCTAGCCGAACAGAGGACACGTGGTGTTGAGTCAGTGCCATGTAGAGGAGAACAAGATACTGGTGTGAGCTGTCCACACAGCCTCCCGCGTGCACTGCATCTGTAATTTAATTGTGTTTTTGAAAGACAGTAATTTTAACCTAAGGCTGTATTCTCAATAATTATACTAAGTTTTCCCTCAATACTCGTTATTATTTCCAAGATGACCCTGGTATTGTAAGTTTCTTCCTTGTTTTTAACCATTATTATACTCTTTCATAACGAAATTTATATTGGGCTTTATATTATAAAATATTCAAGCTAACCCAATAAATGGTGAGTGGTGGTTAGAGCTAGATCCTCAGGTAGAGTCTGTTGGGTTGCTGTGTTATCACAACATAATGTCACATCAGTTGTGCTCTCTGTGTACAACGTTAAACTGTGTCCTGGTGAACTGAAACAAAATAATTAGATACTTAGATTAAGGTGTCTGTCTTAGTTTTTACCAAATTATAACTTTTACTTGTTCACACTTCACAACATAACTTTTAAGAGTACAGATTTAGCCAGTTTCGAGACTAACAGAAGGAAGGGTTACGTAAACTAATAATCAATTTGTTCGCAAAGTTATATAAAAATCAATGCAAGAAGAAAATGAATAAGATCTTTTCCAATACTATAATCAGCGACGTACTTTCCGGATTGTGCTCCCTTCAAATGTTCATTGTAGATGTATACATCAGGTATGAAGTCGTTGAGAACGCCGCGCGCCTTGTCTATTACACGTGGGTTTGTGGCAGGTGACATCCGCGCACAAGAAGCTACCCCTCGTATCCTCTTAATCTGAAACAAGAGAGACGGTTTATTCAATTATTGTAACGACTGATCTGTGCTCTTAGCAAATTAGCAAACTTCAGATGGCGAACTCAACCCTAACGGCTATATATATATATACTAGTGTAACCCGGCCTACGGCCGGGATTTCACTGCCGCAGTTAAAAAGGGTAGGAGTAATTACCCGCTGAGTCAAAACCCGCATTAGGTGACCCAATAGTTTCTTAAACAATAATCTCATAATCAGTTATTTCTTGTGGATAATTAAGTCATTATTAGCCATGAGGCACCACACTCCATGATCATAAGGTCTGAACACCGAGTATTACACCTCATCACTCCCGTCTTGAACCGCTTTCTATTTTTATTTAAATCGTTATAGAAATTAACCCTTGTTAACTCCGCACCACACCCGCATATTATATTTGAAAACACGCATAACATTGTCGTATGAACTCTCTCTCTCTCTCTCTCTCTCTGCAGTCCAAACAGACCCCAAACACTAACAGTCCCCCCTCCCCTAATAAGCTTAAGGTATAACATTACAGCGAATCTTCCAGGCTAATCCAATTATGACGCTACTTAAATGCAGCTATAACATATTACACAGTAATGAGAGAGAGAGAGCAAGCCCCGTAACTCTTGCCGTTCTGCTCACGCAATTTTATGTAACATTTGTGGTACAAAACCATCAATTAAACCACTTACCATCGGCCGATTTAAAAAAAAATTTCCTATGGGCTTCATCAGAGTTTTGTCGACACTATACCGAAAAAATCAGTCCCGTAACTCTTACCGTTTTTTTGTATAACCGACCGGAAATTACACACGGACAGACAGACAGACAGACACACACACACACACACATTCTGGTGTTATTAAGGTGATCATAAGATGATAACAATATGTAATAATATGATGAGCAGAAACTTAAGTAAGTGCAACGGGACAAAAAACGTGCTAAGAATACCTTATTCTCTTATTCAAGTTAAACTAGTTAAACACCTTATTATTACACCTAACTGACTAAATACCTTATTCAAGTTATACTAATTAGACTTCTTATTTAAATAAATAAGGTTATATTATAACGCAAAATACCCGTTTTCAGAAACTTTTATTTTAATATTCATTAAGTCATTACAATCTATTACTGTTCACATATATAATAATGCAAAATGATTCCATCGGTTCCGCTATTGAACGATTGTAGAAACTATTTGTAAATAAACATGACGTATTATATTATTTTGGTCATACGATTGCTTCCAGAAGACCTGTTCAGTGTTTCAGAGAGGATTCAGCAGGCCAGACAACTCTGTTAAACCTTTTAAGGCCAGAGGGCCAGGGGGTCGGGGGGGAGGGGGGGGGGGGGGTAAACGGTCAAAAAATTGACCATAATTTTACTATTTAAACATATTATTATTTATATGATTATAAAAGCGATGCCCATCGATGCTCATCGAAGCCCATTTGACCAAAAATAGAGGAATAAATGAGCAATGGGGTTTTCCGTCTTTTTTCGTCTCCATTTTTCTGTTACTATCAATGGATCTTGATCAAATTTCAATGGTCAATTATTATTGTCAATTTAAATTGTAATCAAAATACATATTAGTTCTATTTTACATTACACATCATTTTATTTGTCCCCTTTATTATTTCATTAGGATTATCTCCTAAATAATATTTATGACGGTTATTTGATATTCATTCTAGAACATTCTATTTAGCTTTATGAAGTGATTTTTATACTTTTACCTCTTATTTATTTACATAAATCATCATTCCGGTTTTTATTTTAACAGTTGCAGTTCCACATCAAATTTATACAGGTTATTACAGTTGATATATGTTTAAATATTTATGCGACATATGCAGCGGGGCTAGTGAATATATCAGATTACAGGATCCTTCTGGAAAATTAATGCCTCTTTATGCAGCTCCTCCTCACTCTAGTACCCCATTCTTCTTGAGAAAGCTCACCCATGCTTGTTTCATCCACTTTGTAGTATTAAAGTATTAAGTAGGGTGCTCCACGGCTCTCGAAAGCCGTGATGTTCCCTACTAAAATTAAATACTGCAATTTAAAAACCTCACGGTGAGTCACGCTCGGCCCAATAGGGCAGTGACCGAGAGTGCCCTTTTTCCCACGGTTTGTCGAATAATGTCGTATATTGTCATTCCCTGTCAAAAATTGTCATTCCCTGTCAAATCTTGTCGTATATTGTCAATTCCCTGTCAAAAATTGTCATTCCCTGTCAAATCTTGTCGTATATTGTCAATTCCCTGTCCAAAATTTCCATTCCCTGTAAAATTTTGTCGTATATTGTCAATTCCCTGTCAAAAATTGTCATTCCCTGTCAAATCTTGTCGTATATTGTCAATTCCCTGTCAAATCTTGTCGTATATTGGCACATATTGTCACATATTGTCGTAAACTTGTCATGACATTGGGCACTCTCGGTCACTGCCCCTAATACGAGATCTATGTAAGCCCACTTTACAATTAGTCTACGATAATAATCGCATGATACTCGCGTTATTTTAAGCAAAGGCCTTCTTGTGAATATTGAGAAAACATGTTTTTTTGGTTTCCAGCCCCCCTAACAAGCAGTAGTCAGACTGGTTTTGCAGCGTTTGTTACCTGGAGTTCAGTCTGGGTAAATTATCTAAACTTATTACAATAATTAAAACGAAAACGAACAATTTACAGACGATCTTGCGAATCAATTGTCCGGTTCCGTTAAACTGTCAACGCAAAATTTCTTGTAGCATAGTTCCAAGGTGTTCAGAGTATGAAGCCCCCAGCTCAATCTGCTCAATTTCCATGAGCAAATAATCCATCAAAACCAGACTTTGATTAATTCATAATTGTGTTATGATACGGGTACGGTCTGTCGTGATATCATGGATCGCTTAGGTTCCACCAGGATCTGGTAGTACTAGTCCTCATAATTCTGCGGCCTCTATGTACGGGGGACAAACGATGAAAATTGGAAGATAAAACTAGTTATAGTAATGTAATTTGGCAATCTGCAAAATTATAATATAATATTACAAAGTATAAGACGTTATAACTGCATATTTCCGGAATTTATACTCTTATATAGTTCAGGTTATTTCTGGCATATATAAGCTGTGCTTTAAGATTTCCCTTGCAGTTATAATCTTGGGAGTAATTCTTAGGATTCACCACAATCTGTTACAGTCTCTTCTGCAAATGCTGTCATTTTGATTCTACCATGTCCATTTTTCTCCATGTCCATTTGGTCAAAATCTGGTCGTCTTGGACAAAAATGGGTAAATGGACAAAAATGGGGTTGGATCACGTTTCGTAACATCTATATATATAATCCCAATAAATCTGCGAATTAAGCGTTCATTATTTCATTCAAGGCATCGTAAACTTGGATACTGGTGGATAAGTGAGCCATATTTGTTCTAGCAAGTGACACTGGACAATAATACTCGAATAATCAATATCACGTGTCGAAACAAATATGGTTCACCTTTCACCTTTTATTAAATTCTAATTAATTTTACCTCTTTAAAAACTTAATAATACTTTTTTAACTACAACTATCCACGTTAGCCTAACTCCTCGTTTAATTTGTTAAGTTTACTTGAAACCAAATATTATGTACCCCTTTTTGTGAAAGCCACCGTACAGGAAGGCTTACAGTCGACGCCGACCATCAGAAGGAGATGTACCACTTCTATCTTGATTTGCGTGCCGCCCCTCAACTCGGCTGAGTTCTGACAGTAGAGTGGGTCATGATACTTTATAGAACTATAATATAGTTACTATGTTATATTTCCGTACATAATCTTATTAATCAGGATAATATGTTTATCACCCGTCGAATAAAGATCTAATAACCAAACTGTTCGGTTTTTGTTTGTAGACATTTCCTCGATACCTAACACTGGTTACTTCCATAGCTACCATATCCCAAGAATCACCATGTCGTCCAACTACTCCAACAATATGATGAACGCACTCTGGAACTTCATGGCCCCTGGTTTCTACAACTACGGTCGAATCGACCCTGATGCGGACGTGGAGTCTATCCCGGATCTTAGCCAAGCTAATGAAGACATGGTTCACTACCTTATCGCAGAGCTGGGAATCACGAAAGATGCTAGGCTACTAGAGCTGGGTTGTGGTAAAGGAATGTATACCATTAGGATAGCTGAAGAAACAGGTTGCACTTACACTGGCATTGAAATAAATGAAGAGTACGTCGAAAACGAGTGCAAGAAGCGGGCCAAGCTGCATGGAGTAAGTGACCAGGGAGAATTCATAACGGGTTCCATGATTGATCTTTTACAACATGTTAGAAACCAGACCTTCACTCACATCATGATGAACCAAACCATGTACTACTGCCACAACGACCTGAATAACCTGTTCGATCAGATAGCCAGTGTCAGCACTGAAGAAACCAAGATCTTCTCCTGGGACTTCGTTCGCAGGTGCGGCTGGGAAGACTGCAAGATACCTAACTCACATTTGAAGTTGCCACATCCTATACTAACCAAGGAGGAGGTCTTTAGGATGATTGAAAAGTCAAAGCTGGACCTGGCTGGATTTGTGGACGCAACAGACACCATTATACCCGGTTACAAGATCATGGAGCGGGAATGCAGGAAACGAGATCCAGACCTGACATCCCTGACTTATCCAAGAATGGGCAGGGGCTTTATGACTGGACTGCTGGCGTGTGTTTATTACCATCTTAAGCTACAGTAAGTGTCTTATTAATAAAGCTTTTGTTATTTAGGATATGATAAGTTTAGTTATATAATTATGAATATCAATAATTTTCGAAGAACACGATGAATTGTGCAAAAAATATAACAAAAACTGTCGAATTTCATTGAACTAACCCTCACGCCAAATCTTATACATTGAATAAAATGAAAATTGACAATCTAACATCTTTCAGAACGGTACCACCGAAAATGAACATCGCACCAGGACGGTACACAAATGGCAACCACTAAGACGTCTTTACAACAAGAACTCGAGGAGCTTCCAACATCCTGACTCCTATCTTAATTTAAATAAGTAGTGATAGACTTTACAGTTTACATCCTAATATGGCACTAGCTTTGCCAGTAATATTATAGAATGGCTCAAGAAGACGTTCTTAACTTGCACGATAAATGACAGTGTAAAAAGGTGCATGACAAATACCCATACAAGATCAAAGTTTTGAATAAAGTTCTGAGTATAATATACTTCCGTTTAAGATGTTAATTTCACAATTTTCCGGTTTGTTAAATAATTTCCCATTTATTACATTTGAAATGGTGATTTTTGGTCCCATCTCAGCTCAATATATGTAGTCTTACTTGTTCTTATTTTAGCTTATAATTCTAGCCAATAATATGGGAGCTGTAATAAAACTGATCTATAACTGAGTAACTGGGCCGATTTAAAAGGCCGGGCCGCGATCATCAACCATGGCAGTTCATCTTTTATGATTGAAATATTATTATTCGTAGTAAAAAAAGGTCCCAAAATTTCGCACAATAGTTATGTACATAATCACAAATATTGGCGAACTTGTGCTAAAGATAGGACAAATCTTTGGTGAAAAATAAATACAAATATAATACACTTTTATGCAACTTGGTGTTTGAAATAAGGCAGCTGCAAAACTCTGGGTAGTTTATGTGCGTTCGTTCATGAAAAAGTTTGAGATTTTCAGGTCTATCATGAGCGTTGGGAACATGACATGGTACTTACAATAACGGGTCGTTCACATATTACGTAATATGTACAATCACTTTTTGACAATTTTTAACCCCCCCCCCCCCCCCCCAGCCCCCCTCCCCCTCACCTTCTGTAATCAGTTTTACACAATATAGTTATTGTGTCAAAATTACGCTGGCGTCATCATTTGGAAACCCCCCTCCCCCTCGGCTGATTACATAATATTCACTGAACGACCCCTAATGAAATTACGGTCGTCATCCCTTCGACACTATAGTACTATTATCACCCAGTACACTAAAACCCCAGTTGACCTCATCCCGATTTACCACGGCTACTCTCGCCAAAATCCGTTGCAAATTGGAGTTTCACTGTGCTAAACAGAAATGTTTCTTGAAAACTAAACTAAACTTGGTAAGGTTTATCCTCGTAGCAGGAAGGGTCATCAGATGTCTGACCACCGTGACGGCGTGTAGTCTACCAAGGAATTCGACCAGCTGCACGTATAACCGGAAACCGGCTCGGGTTATCCGGTATCAAAGCAAGAAACTTCGACAAACTGACTTTGAAGCTGGCAAACGTTTTATCGGCTTTCACTTCACAAAATCATGTTAATAACTCTATAATATTTAGTATTATAAACATCCCAAAAAAGCTGCCGTGATATTTGTCGAAATCTCTACGAAATCTCGGTTACCTTCTACAGACCTATTAAATATATTTTGACGAAAATAGCTCAGTCACTATTGGTATTCGTTTGGATTCAAAATTATAGTTGTAAAGAATCTTGCTGAACGTTTATATATAATTAAATAAGACTATATAAGGCTATGTGATATCTTCGTCAAAAAAAGATATAAATAATCTTACCTTGCCAGGATCCAGCCACTGGATAGGTTTCACAATTTTGAGGGAATTAGAGAAAAACACAACTTCTCCTCCTCCACCAGGAGAGTAGCCACGCTTGTTAATTGTTAGTTCTGCGCTGTGCAGTCCCAACTTCTTGCAATAACTCAATGTCACGTGCTTCAGAGTATCAACCTGAGACAAATAATTGCAAAATTTATAAACCATATTTGCAGGCATGGCATCATGGATTGTTAATGGACACGTTCATTTGAGTTTGAGGATATTGGTAAATATAAGTGACCCTTTTAAAAGGCACAGTGTAGTTGACTTTGTCACACTATGAAATTACACAAACCCTTGATGGTTAGGATAATCGTCTCATCCTCTAGGCTAACTTTGTCACATAACGATATCTTAATCAGGTGATAAGATATCGCTTAAATACGGCCGGCACGGAAATGGTTACATTGTCACACTATAAACATGTGACAGAGTAAATATGGACCCCTTGCTGCCGTTTTTGACCAAAATTTTGAGTGTCCAGTTGATTGGATGGGTACATATGACCATTACCTACATATTTGACGACTTTTTTCGTTAGATGGTGCACTCAGGTTTACTCTGTCACACATTTAAGAAAATATGTGAACAATGTTTAGGGAACCCTGATAAGCAATGCTGAGTAGTGTAGGTTTAGTTAATGGCCTGGAAGTGCTAGGAATTGTTATTATATCATATAGTCGCAAGGAATTAAAACACAGAAGGCACAGACAAGTTTACTTTGTCACATAATCTTGATGATATCTGAACATGTGTGAAATTGAACAAATAATGATATACCAGCTTAAACCCTTTGTATTACGTAATATGGATCAAACAACACTGCTAGTACCATGCACCAGTCACATAAATCATTAACGTGTGGTAATATGTTAACAGTGTCACAATTAAACTACCACAACATGGTCAAAAATAGGGTAATTTCGTCACAAAAAAATTATTATAACTCTCTCAGCTCCTTGCTGGCAAAATAACTAGTTAGTTTATCGACATTTTTTTGATGATAAAATTACATAGTATTCTAATAGAGGTATAGATCTTCAAAATAGGGGCAAGACATGTTTACTTTGTCACATCAGTTATTATTACAGTTAGGTAATCGTCATCACATTAACATATATTTTTTTGTAGTTTGGATTGATTTATTTAGGTAATAAGCAGGTGATAAGGCAGCCTATGCTAATTTTTACACACTATCTTGAAATTGTTGGGGCAGGAAAAGTTAATTTTGTCACATTTTTAGTGACTTTGACAAATTTAACCTAAAATTGTTAAACTTGAGCTCTGATGTTCTGGACAATATTCTACCAATTTTTTCTGAAAGAATGTTAAATTCTAATAGAGTTATAGAATATATAGATCTTCAAAATAGGGGCAAGACATGTTTACTTTGTCACATCAGTTATTATAAGAGTTATTACTTATTATAAGAGACTATTTCATTATATAATCATTGTTACGATTTCGTATAATTTTTTGTGACAATGTAAACATCAACTGATCTTAACTTGCATCAACTACATTGTCATCATGTAAAGTTTTCCCGCCTTTCAAACCAAAATCAGATATAAATAATTCGCCCAAAATTTTAAATTCCATATATTGTGACAGAATTAACCTCATTGTGCCTGTATTAGCTTACTATTCAAAGCAACATATTTTAGGGCTATGATTGGTACTCCGTACTTGGTAGATCAACCATCAAATAATGAGTAAAAAGGGTTTTGAGGACACCTCACAGTAGAATAGAGGTATGGTATTCTGAGTGTGACAAAGTTACCTAAATATTGCCTTGTAACCGTTCGATCCGTGCCCTTTAACCAATGTTGTATCATAATTGTTAGATTGACCTAATCTACTATGTTTCAGACCAAGGAATGATAATTAGACAACTGCAGTTAAATAAGTCACACAAAATGTGACATTTGAACCATTATAGTGCCTAACAACAATAGATTTTCTTTCTGAGCAGTGCATATGGGAGTATGGGTTACGCGGCTAATGTTCAGAACTTCTGAACGTGCTAGGTTAATAGATGTCAAAATTAAGCCACTATCGTCAAAAACGCTATTATTTTTGTTTACCAATATCCTCAAACTCAAATGAACGTGTCCTAATAGAAACAATGTTTATAATTATAATTGTTAGTTGCAACAGGTTACCAGAGATGAAAAAAGAAATAGAAGGCTTTATTTCATCGATCTAGAATGACGGATGTTGATCCGATTTCATAAAACATTCGACTTACATTAGGATGACCATGGCCGTGAGTAACTCCTCGCAGGGTAATATTAAACTTCTTCTTTGAAAACGCAGCAAGGCAGACCAAAACTTCCATGTAGTATCCAAGAGGAACTGATAAACTACATTCGTGTGAAACTTCTCCTGAGAAGGGGTTATCAGATTAAATAATAAGATTTGAATATATTTCAAGCGGATGATAAAATAAAGACTTTAGAATTTATAGCTGTCACGTTGGGTGAAGAGTTATCTCCACTAACAGTAACAACTGTACGAACCTCCAATGATGAATCCTGGGCTAAAGACCAATCTTGTTCCAGTTTCATTGAGTTTGGTTTTGGTTCCGTTAGTCAGCTCGTCAATAAGTTTCAATAGAGATACTTCGTAATCCGTTAATCCAAGTTCGTCCTCTAAATGTCTGATATCTTCAATCACTACTGGTTTTCCAGAGAGGAGTGATAAAATCAGAATCTGTCTAAACTCACCATCTCCTTTGAATGTTAGATACTTTGCCATACCTTGATGAGATAAACTGTAAAAGGTATCTGTAGCAACTAAATATTATTAGGTAATAGAAGTATGATATCGAATTATATACAATTTATACAAAATTTACGTACCTTACTCGGGAATATTATAGCGGGTTAATTTATGACTGGGAAAATTAATGACCGGGAAAAATATGGCGGAATTTTCCAAAACCCACCAAGCATCAAAATGTATTGCTATTAGTTAATAGTTTACCTTACTTGGGAACAATATATCGGGTTAATTTATGACTGGGAAAATTAATGACCGGGAAAATATGGCGGAATTTTCCAAAACCCACCACTTTATCCCAGTCATAATATTCCTGAGTAAGGTAGGTACTGTTAAACTTAATGTTTCACGATCTTTACAAATTTGTATGATTCTTCACAATTTGTGTTAATATATTGTGATGATTTCATTTGAAACTCAATATACAATGTACAATACAATACTTTAAATAATATTAAATTGTCACATTTTGACTAAGGCAATGAATGAGCCTTTCATGCTGAAGCAAATATCTAGTCGGCTAAACAACAACTTTTGGTCAGCATATCCAGTAGAATCCATACAAATAGGTAGGTTCAAATACCAGAAACACTTAATCTGGCCTAGTAGGAAGGCCAAATAGTTTTCTCAATGCCATCTTAAATGAATTTAAATTTTACACATTAAAAAGCACTTGAAATACATTATCTAAACCAATTTCAGAAAGAAATGTTCTAAATTGTCCTAAATCTTGATGCTTGTTATCTCTACCATGAACATCAAAGATTAACTCCTTAAAATTTTCGAATTTCATTTCTTCTGAGGACAGAGTAGGTTCTTCATGTTGAAGTTTTAAGAGTTGCCAATTCATAGCTCGTACCCGAGAGTTGAATTCTTTACAATTTTTTTTCAATCCTTCAATACAAATGATACCAGGTTTTCCTGGTAAAATAAAGCCAGTAAGACACCATTCTTTTGACCATTGGAGCATATTGGTGCGCTTTTCCCTGCTGTAAATGTGATGAGCATAATACCACACCCTTGAATAGATAGAAGCTTCAGGAAAGTCTGCAGGAGAGTCCTCTAAATTCCTAGACTGCAACTGATCGTTAACTATATCCAATAATAAGTTAGTCAGCTCTGACATAACCAGCAGTATGACAGAATCACCTTTGTTTTCAGAAAGGATGAGTTTTATTGAGTCATCAATTTGAAATTCTTGGCTGGAATCTAAAGCAGACCATGATATTCTTATCTCTGCAGACGCACCCTCTGGATAATCGCTGGGTAATAAAACCTCAAGATGGAGCTGGTCAAATTTGATGTTGAACCTTAATATAGGATGTTTTCCAGGATCATTTGCACAATCTTGACAATTAACCAAATCATGATTGTCAACCTCAATTTTCTCTGGATAAATACTTTCTATGATTTCTAATTCATCAAGTTTTTGTTGAGTAAGAGTCATATCAGACTGATCTCAAAGAAATGATTTTTCAACTGAGTTGTTATCTCAGTTACAAAGTCAACTTCCAAAAAGTTGGAAAGTTTGATGGGTGTGTCACTGTCATTCTGGAACCAAACAATTCATTCTGAAACTTAATGCTATTAAACAGAATACCAGTAGAGCCAGTTCCCAACTACATTTCAAGTACAGTTTGGTACAAATCCAGATTATTAAGCTTAACATTACCAACATTAAAAAATCAGTAGCTACCAAATTAGAAAAATTTCAGCAGTGCAACAATGAAATCGTTCAAGTGTCCAGAAATTAAAGATATTGAGTGATAACAAAATGGTAGTTTAACAAACTTACTCGAACTACTACTTTTGGACTCACGATCAAGCTGATCTAAAAAATTAGAGATACAAATTGTATTATTAGTGCAGTACAGAAATTAGATAACAGTCACTTAAAGTATCAGCGCCCAGCTGTAATTACACTACCTTCAGTCCCCCTTTGATGGTTACATCTTCAGCAGCAGCTAGTAAATCGTTACTGGGCGGCGCTCAGCTTGTAGGTTTACAACCTACCAGGACGCGCGCCGAGTTGGACTCGTCGACGGTTCCAATATATGGAACAGATATTTTACGAGTATCACCCGTTAACGCTCAGCCTGTCATTCCGCCGAATCTCTATTTTTTTTATTTTTTTTATTTGAAAATTCAATTAATCATTATATATATAAATCAAGCGTTAAATTTCAGCCATGCAAAAGTTTTCTAAGGTTAGTGTTCAAGCTGAATTATTATCCGTCATAATTAAGACTCAGTGTGGAAGAAACTTTTGTATATCAACATTCTATAGAGTAGGAACGCTTGGCTTAGATAATTTTGAATCTTTCAAGAAACATTTTGTTACTTTAGCATCTGCCAGAAAGTTGCAAAGGCACATTCTGGTAGGGGACTTTAATTTGGCTTCGATTTCTTGGCCAGATGGTCAGTCATCTTGTCAGCTACACTCTAGCTTTGTAAATTTTCTCACTGATGACCTCGGACATACACAACTTATTAGTTCCCCTACTCACAAGTCAGGCAACACCTTAGATCTTGTGTTCACTAACATTCAGAACCTTATTAAGAATGTTTAAGTTTTAGATCAAAACGAAATGTGTATGTCTGACCACTTTTGTATCACATTTGACATTGATATTAAGACCAAGTATATTAAGCAGCCTAAAAGAAAGATCTTTAATTATAGTAAAGGTAATTTTAGGGGCCTGAATTCTGAGTTATTTAGCATCGATTGGGATAATATATTTGAGTGTAATGATCCTTATCTTGCCTGGAGTCGATTCAGAGGAGTTCTCGGTGCAGCCTGTGATCGATGGATCCCTAAAAAGACCATTAAGTCTCAGTTCCAGCCCCCATGGTATGACTACGAATGTGATCGTCTCCTACGAAATAAGGAGAAATGGAGAATAAGGCATAAGGGGAGCAACTCTGAGTCTCATAAACAAAAGTTTCGTGCATTTCGCACAAAATTTAAAAATATGATGGACAAAAGAATGAGACTCAGTGTTGAGGATGACTCCGATGATGCTCTTATCTCCAAGAAATTCTGGACCTACGTTAAATCTAAATCAAAGTCAACCAGGATCCCTGAAACTGTCAAATATCATAATCGCTTTCGAAACAATCCATCTGATCAAGCTGCCCTTTTTAACGAATATTTTTATGAGCAGTTTTCTCAAGAGAGCGATTATGGCATTGACATAGATTTTCGTGATGATTGTTTTTCAAGTCTTGTGTTTAGTAGAGAAGATGTTCTGTTGATTCTTAAAAAGTTAAATCCTAACAAGGCCCCTGGCCCTGATGGGATTCATGGGAGAGTCCTTAAAAACTGTGCCCAAAGCCTTGCATACCCACTTAGTGTTTTATTTAACCTGTCTTTCTCGAGCGGATGCATACCCCCTGATTGGAAGCTGGCACTTGTAGTACCAGTGCACAAAAAGGGCGATAAGTCTTCGGTTGAGAACTACAGGCCTATCTCGTTAACATCTCTTGTAATGAAAGTCTTTGAAAGGTGCATAAAGACTGCATTATACGCTGCATGCTCTGATCTGTTGGATGACCGACAACACGGTTTTGTTAATGAACGTTCATGCACAACCCAAATGATACCTTTCACGGACAATCTTGCACTTGCATTGAATAACAGGTCCAGGACTGATATAATATATTTTGATTTTGCGAAAGCTTTTGATAGCGTTTCGCATGACCTTATTTTAAGTAAATTAAAGAATATTTTTAATGTCGATGGACTAATGCTTAAATTCATTAAGTCCTATCTTGAGGGGCGACAACAACAAGTAGTGATAGGAGGCCAAACGTCTTCTTCTCTACCAGTTCGGTCTGGTGTCCCTCAAGGTTCTATACTTGGCCCTTTATTGTTTGTGATATTTATAAATGACATGTTCTCCTGTGTCTCTGAAGGCACCAATATTGCCCTTTATGCAGATGACACTAAAATTTGGAGGGAGATTCTTGGTTACCCTGACCATCACATAATCCAAAATGACATCAATAGATTATATGATTGGTCAGTGAGAAATCGAATGAAGTTCCACCCACAAAAGTGCAAAGCCCTCTCTGTGTCCCTGCAAAGAAACGTGCTGGATAACTTGCCATTCAATACCTTCTTTTATAAACTTTCTGGAAGTGATATTGACTTTGTGCCCTCTCAGTCAGATTTAGGAGTCGCAATAAACTCCAGGTTTAATTGGGGTGCACAGTGTAAAGCGCTTGTTTCCAAAGCTACCTCTAGACTTGGACTACTTAAGAGAACATGTCATTTCACTACTGATAAAAGGCAGAAAAGATCGTTCTATTTAGCGTTAATTAGGTCTATATTTGAACATTGTTCTGTCATATGGTCCCCTCAATCTGCAACTCATCTTCAACAGTTTGTTGCTATCCAAAAGAGGGCTATTAAATGGATCAATGGTGAACCTTACTCCAGTTATAATGACGATAAACTTGCTACAGAGCAAAAGAAACTAAATATTCTCCCTGTTGAACAGAAGTTTATTTATAACGATCTTATGACCTTCTATAAAATAGTGAATAGCATAATTCCAGTTTCGCTCCCTACATATATAGTCCTATGCCGTCCAGAGGGCACCCGATACACTAGACACAATGCTCAAATAATTGATAGGTCGGATACTTCAACTTACATGAGTACCACTGTGCCCTGCTCGGATGCCTTCCGAAATAGCTTTTTTCATAGATCTATGCTGAAATGGAATAGTCTACCAGTATGTATCCGGCAGTCAGAGCGGATTTCTACTTTTAAGGCCAAACTGATCAAGTACCTCTGGGCTGCCGATACAGTCTGGCCAGATTAGCTCATCAGTCTTATGAGTCTAAGAAATTTGTTTTTGTTGGTTACAATTCTGTCCGTCCAATTTCCTATCTGCTTGTCCTTTTCTTTTTTCTTATCAGTTGTGACGGAATTGTAATGAACAAAATCAAATGAATCAAAATATATGTCATTGTAACTTTGCATGGCTGAAATGTAACGCTTGATTTATATATATAATGATTAATTGAATTTTCAAATAAAAAATTACAATGACATATTTTGGTATACTAAATGATAAATGGTACTGCAATATAAGTTGCTTAATGTTTGGCCGGATGACAACTAACGAGAAAAATAAACTTGATTATATAATAATTAATTCGGCTGAACCAACACATAGCAGGAGCCACATTAACGTTGGGGCCGTCTACCAAATTTGAATGACAAACATTAACAAGAAATCAAACATATCATAAATAATTATAAGGATTGTGTTCATTACAATTCCGTCACAACTGATAAAGAAAAAGAAAGGATGATGAACATAATAGCCTGAGGTCCCCAGATAAATAAATCGGACCATTCCTATTTGGCAATTAGCTTAGCAAGTTAATAAGTTTTAAACTAATTACAACACTACAAATCTATTACATTTATTGAGTTTCAGGAAGCAATGTCAATGGCGGGCCAAAAGGGGCACGAGGCCCTGGCCAGTAAGAAGCTCAAGAAGACTCTAAAGCCAAAGAAGAACTCTGTTATACTTCCTGTATTTGAAGACGGCTCGTGTAAACAGTGTGGGAGTAATGACACTGTGAATGAATCGATTATCTGTAATGTCTGTGATGGGATGTTTCACTCCGCTTGTCGCAAAAAAACCGGTGTTCAATTTCCTGAGTCCATTTGTACAAATACCTTCCGTGCTAAGGTGAGACCTATGATTGCAGATCAAGCTCGTTGGGGTTATTTTCTATTCGTATGTGAAGATTGCATTTCACTGGTAGATGACACCCGTTCTTCCAAAAACTTTTCTCCACCTGGTCCACCTGTACCATCTGTGGTAGATGCTTCTAAGTCCAACCCTGTGATGAGTCATGATAATGGTCATGATGAAGCTCCTGATATTCTCTCCAAAGTTGAGCATCTGATGAGGGCAAACAACTCTGCCCTTCTGAAATCATTTCGTGAGGAAATGCATAGCATTATTGTCGACAAGCTTGCTCTATGTGCTCCAGCCTCTGAACATTCGCTGGAAGAGCGAGTTTCTAATGTTAACAAAGAAAACTTGCAATCCCGGTCTCCAAGTGCACTGTCCTCTTACAGCAATTTTGCTGAAGCTCTTGTAGGTGGTGCTAGTTCTCCTCAGCCAAGTAAAGTGTCCGCTAACATAAATCAAATTAGCAAGGAAAGTAAAGAGATATTGGTGCTAGATAGTCCCTCTCCTTCTGCTGATATTTCATCTGCTCCAGATGTTCTATCTGAGTTGCTCTATGACACACGATTGATTGCTATGAAAACTAGCCTACTAGATTCACATAAGAAGATAACGCTAGTTTTTCCATCTTCATCTGATAGGCTGAAGGCTAAAAGTCTTATTGAAAACTCTGATGTCATTAAATTACTTGGTTTTCACATCACTCTCTCACAGAAAGCTCTCCCTAAGGTCACTGTGTCTAATATTCCCAGTCAGATATTCGAAACCATTGATCGCTCTGGTTTGCCCGCTGAAGATTTCCGGTTACAGACTAAAAAAGCTCTTCTAGATATTATTCCCTTGAAAAATCCTGGACTTAAACACT